CCACTGCACTTTGGTTCCCAAAGTTGGGCTTGGGACCCAATTATGGGTCATGAAGCACCTTGGATAATCTCCAGAAATCAATTTAAAGAATAATAAAATAATTGCAGATGTAATATTTTCTCCATATATATTACAAAAACACAAAATAACTATAAATAAGTATTTATATTTGTGTACAAACTGTTTATATTGTCAAAAAAGCCTGTGTTTTTAGGCTTATTAATGAAGTTTGTGTACTCAGACCAGTAATATTTGGGGTCACAAGTTTAAGCCATGGATATTTTGTGGGTCAGAAGATAAAAAGTTTGGGAAACACTGCTCTAGATGGGTTCTTCTTTGTTGAAATGTTTTTGCTCTTCTTCAAGAGACTTCTTCAGAAGAATCCGTCCAGAGGACCTAATGATTTTTTTTCTACATGGATTACTGCGATGCATCACTACAGCCTAAATTTAGTTTAAGTAAACTCAAAATAATCTTCCTTTTAGATAAAAATGGTCTCACACTGCAAAATGTTACACTGTGCTACAATTTGAATAGCAATGTCGGGTATTTGTGGTAGGAGTACGCGGACACCGTGACAAACAGCAACATGCTACTACACACACACACACACTAATTATTGGCTGAACAAAAAAAAAGGCTCCTAAGTGGTTTCTTATGAATGGACACAATCAWGAGGGAAAACAAAATCAGCTCCATTGTATGAGGCCTATGGATAGGCAGAGCCRCACTGAGGCCACCCACGGCACAGCTGATGTGGTTTCACTCGTAACCACTCTGATGAAATATTCATTGAGAAACAGCTCTGACACCTTGAGTGAGCTCCGGTTACAACCAAATCATTCGAGGTGAAGCAAGAGCCAGAGTCCCCCGCTGGCAGGATCGCCATTCCTCTCCCTCCCCTCCACACGCACAACAACAAACAAGATACAAAGGCCGGCATTCATTTTTGATGGAAGGCATTAATTAATAACCCGAACCTGACCTCATTTTGTTCTGCTGGTCTCCCCGGGTGAACGGAGCAGAGCAAGAATAAAGAAATCTAAAGCTGTTTTTTTTYCCCCCGCCACAGACAGAGCAGAAGGATGAGGGTGACAGTGTGAGGAGAAAAAGCTGAGATAAAGCAGTCAGCCAAGAGGAAGAGCAAATGCGGGATTATCATACTGAATACAAGTGAAAGSGGGTGGGTGACGGCTGCAGAAGTAAGTGCTGTGTCTGAAACCAAAAAGGGGCATTTTCCTGATGTGAGGGGAAAGTAGAGGGGGTGGCCTCTCATGCAAAAAAAAAAAAAAAAAAAAAAAAAAAACTAGAAAAAAATAATTCTGATCTCTGACTCCACAGTTCACAACACTTTCCTAAAGTCCTCTGTCTTCACACACACACACACACACAAACACACACACACATTACACAGTGGTCGATAAAGTCCCTGCCAAAAAAAAAAAATCATATTCACATAAGAATGATGTCATTACAGACTCACACTAACACCTGGGTGGTAAAAGAAACAAGTCATTTTCTTCAGGTTGTGGTGCCTGAGTCATGATGCTGCAGAGTCCAAAGCTTCCTGTCTTTTAAAATGTTACACTGATGAGTGGATAATGGGCCTGATGCTGAAAATTTGTTATTCAATAAAAAGGCACTTTCAAACATAAAAAAATTACAAATTTGGACTAGAAAAACACCCAAATTATTACCTTGTGTTAACAGTAAAAAAAAAAAAAAGATTGATCATATAAAAAATACTTTCATAACTGACCAATAAAAATTCTTATATGAACGTATCTTATTAAAAAAAGACTTGCTGCCATCTTTGACATGTAAATAGTTGTTTGAGTCCTGGTCTTTCACCGTCTCAGGAGTAAAACCTTCCTTTCTCTGAGCCTGGAYGCTGGCTGAGCTTGGCCAGCTGCGTGGGCGATGGGGGAACATCCTGTCTGCTGAACGGACCTTTGGACTGACTCGGGGCCTGACTATGGTCTCTGCCTTGGTTGCGGATGCTGCCGGTGAGGGTGTCCTGCGCAGGAGACGGCCTGTCTTTGCTGGCTTCCTGTTCTCTGCGTCTTTGCTCCTGCCTCAGCAACTCCTGTGTCTCCAGGAGGACGCGAGCGTTAAAGTTGGATTTTCCCAGGTAGCCGTTACGAGAACCTTGGCCCACGGAGAGCCGGGGGTTGTTCCTGGATGGCTTAATTCCCTCAGACGAGGTGTACCACGAGTCCTGGGACACTGTGCTGTGGTTCTTACGAGGTTGCCTGAAAACACAAAGACACACACAGAAGGATTACCTGTACTATTCAATTAGCTTTGTAAAATATTTACTCATTTTACAGTGTCTAGTAAAAAAGTTTGGAGGAATAAAAATATGCCCAACATGTCAGATGGCAAATGAAACCAAAGCTTGTKGCTAATATCGCAATGCTCTTTGGTGTTAGCTTGGTAAGTCTGTTGGATGAAAATGTGGCTATTCAAAAAGCTATCTGAGCCTGTAAAATAYAGGGGTGTAACAATACTTCAAAAATATTTCGATGTTTCAATTAAATAAGTATGGATTCGATTAGATGAAGGCAAAACAAAGACATTGATCCGTTTCGTCATTATATGTCTGATGTGGATCGATACCATATACCAATTTAATACAACCAGTTACTGAATCATTGTGTTATATGGGCATATGATAACACATTATACCAATTGCAGAAACTGCATCATGACAGAATCTGTCATAGAGAAACATTGCATTATCATCCAAACAAATCAATATAACATCGTATTGTAATAAAGCTGGTGATCTCCTGTAGACCCCTAGTAAAATATGAATTCTTTACAACGTTTTTTCCACATAAGCCTGCTTCAAAATGGCAATACTTCATCTGTAAAATACTGATGTCAGATCAACATTATTCAGTGACTTTGAAAAGAACTGTGCCACGCCAGAGAGTGTTGCCACTTTTGTGTATTGTGAGCTGAGAAGAGGAGACGTGGTTGCTTGTATTCTCTTAAAATGAAGCAACGTGAGTGGAAGAGAAGAAGGGTCTCTGAAACACGCTGCCTGGATCCCGTGACATAAAAAGGGAGACACGCGAGGGACGGGAAACAAACGACAGAGGCCTGAAACGCCCACAGGACAATTAGTTCCACATAGTAAACAAACACAAACGCTAAAACCTCCCAGAGGAAAAAAAAAAGTAGGCTTTTATCCATTTAACTTCTTTTTGGAGATGCAGATGGGTGCACTCACAGAGCAGACAGAGTAATAGCAGGCCTCACAGCGTTATCTGCCTTCTACTCATCTTTAGCCCCTGGAACACTGACAGGACAGCACGCACAGCAAGCCTCACTATCATAAAAAAAGAGACACCAAGCATGCCCTCCTTTCCAGAAATTAGCTTTGAAAACCCTTTATTGGAATTTTTTTTACTGCTGACTTTAAGTCTACTGCCCCATTATTAGGATCCATTAAGGTCTGACATGCGATGGAAGACCTGTGACAGTGTATTTTGCATCATGGGTGCTAAGAGAAATCCCCTTCACACCTCACTGACTCGTTGTGTGCTTTAAAAGGTTTCTTTAAGCTCGCAGGWTAAGACTGAGGAAGACGACAGGGGCTCAGGATGCTTTTAGGACAGTGCGCCTGCATTTCTTGTTGGTCTGAGTCTCATTCCAGGCAGGAACAGACAGGAACAAACTAAACAGAGCATTTAATTGAAATTKTGAAGATTGCAATCATTAAGGTGCGGCCAATGTGTTTTAACCATTCAAAAAAAGGCATTTGTTTGCCCTGAAAGAAAAAATAAACATTAGTGCTGTACATTTTGCCTAAACTTTAAATTTGATGCAACTCCCATGAATCCTTATGTATTTCTTTTCAAAAATACTCAGTGTGTTTTATTTTATTCACCCTTCTGGTGAGTTATGCATTCCTTTGCTGTATGGTTTGCACTGCATTGAAATAAAAATAAAATCATTATGTTCATGCAGAAGCATGGTGGCTCAGTTTCTAGAGCAGTTGCCTCCCAGCAAAAAAAGGTTGCTGGTTCAAAATCCTGGCTGTGGACCTTTCTGGGTAAAGGTTGTATTTTCTCTCCACGCATGCACGAGTTTTCTTCAGGGTATTCTGGACTCCTCCTACAGATAAACTCTAAATTGTCCCTAGGTATGAGTAAAAAGACTAGGAATGTGTGTTAGTCTCTGTGTCCGTGTGATGGACTTGCAACCTGTCCATGGAGTACCCTTTCCCTTGTTTCCTGAGATAATGGTAGGGGCAACACTGGATTATGTAAAAAAACAAGTATTACTTTGTACCTTGCATTGATATATATATATATA